GGTCCTGGGCGTGCCTGGTGCATATACGGGTGCTCATGCTGACTACAGAGATGATAAATGGCTCCCTGGGCCAGTGCATGGTGTGTGTCGTGCCCACAGGGTGTGCGTGTGCAAGCGCACAGGCGTAGGCTGGCCACATGTGTCTTCACACCGGCACATCCACCTCTCATGGAGGCTCCCACCCAGCCTCCAGAGGCCACCCTGAGGAGCCCAGAGGCCTCGGCACGCCCCTAGGCACTGAGATCCACCACCACGTGTCGGTACACCAGCGTCTGTCCCTTGAAGCTGGGGGCCAGGAGCAGCTGGGCGTCCCCAGCAGGCACGTAGCAGAAGGCCCGAGGGGCCTGCACGGCCAGCTCCTGGAACCGTACGAACTTCTGTCTCCCCTCGTCCCACTGGTAGATCTGGGTGAAGGAGAAGTCGCTGCCCAGCGCCAGGTAGCGGCGGCCGCCCACGAGGAAGGGCTGCAGGGCCAGCGAGCCCCGGGAGGGCAGGGCCTGCACCTCGGAGAAGCGCGCGCCCTCCCAGCGCAGGATCTTGGAGTCGCCGATGTAGCGGCTGAGGCACAGGTAGCTGTCTCGGCCGGCACGAAAGTGTTTCACGGCCTGGGCGTCGGGCACCTGGGTCACCTCCCCCTGGGCCACAAACTGCTTCTGGGTGCGACTCCACTGGTAGATGACAGGCGCCTGGGAGCTGCTAGACACAATCAGCCGGGGCTTGCCCTCGCCGTCCACAAACTCAAGGTCAGTGTCACGGTGCCAGGCGTGCAGGGCCTGGTGGGAGTAGAAGCCATTCTGGTGCCAGCGGTAGAGGCTGGTGGCGCCCGCCTTGGAGCTGTCAGCCACGGCAAAGTACCAGTCGCCGTCAATGCGGAAGGCCTCCAGGTCGTTGGGCTTGCGCACGCGCTGCGGGTCGATGTCCTGCAGCTTGGTGAAGCGCGTGGTGTTGGGATCCCAGTGGTAAATGTAAGAGCCACCAAACAGCTGGGCCACGACCACGTACAGCTGACTGTCCACCACCATGGGCTTGCAGTGCACTGCCGAGGGGGCTGCGCCAGGACAGAGCCGGCACCGTCAGGCAGGCCCGCAGCTCCCAGCCCAGCCCACCCGCTCAGAGGAGGAGGAGATCGGTCCCCTCCACACCTGGGCCAGGACCAAGGCTCTCTCCTGTAGTGTTCCACCCCCACTGACGTTCACCCACCAAGCACTCAGCCCTTCCTAATTGTTTCACAGCTAACAGTCAATTTCAGTATCACCCTACTCCACCCTTGCCCCCAGGGTTCAAATACAGGCTCACACTAAGCACAAAATAGGTGTCCCTAGATGTTGACTGATGTTTAACCATAATGTCAGCTATCAAATTTTTATTATACGTAATTGCTGTGCTAATTAACCCTGCTGAGAAGTACCCCATTATTCTTCCATTTGACACAGAAAGAAACTGAGGCTCAGAGAGAGTAAGTGACTTGCCCAAAGCTACCCCACTGGCGAGTGACCAGGCAGGGGAGGCAGGAAGAGTTTGAGCAGATCCCAGGTAGACCAAAATGACACCTGGATGTTTGCCTAGTTCAAGAGTTTGTTTTGTTTTGTTTTGTTTTGTTTTGTTTCAGAGATGGGATCTCACTCTGCTCTGTCACCAGGCTGCAGTGTAGTGGCGTCAGCCTAGCTCACAGCAACCTCAGACTCCTGGGCTCAAATGATCCTCCTGCCTCAGCCTCCCGAGTAGCTGGGACTATAAGCATGCACCACCACGCCTGGCTAATTTTTCTATTTTTAGTAGAGACAGAGTCTCTCTCTTGCTCAGGCTGGCGACTTTAAGTTCTTTAATGGATACAGGGCAGTGTAAATTTTCTGTTCTATCTTATGTCAGTTCAATCCTTTCTAAATCTCTCTCTCTATCCTCCCCTCTTGCTGTCCTTGCTACCTACCACCCCAGCGTCCCTCCATCAGACAGGCACAAACGCCTCTACTGGTCTGCCCTCATGTCTTGCCCCATGCCTAGCCTTTTCCTACACAGGAAGCTTTCTAAAATGCAGACTGGACTAGTTCATGTGCTCTTCTCAAACCCTGTCAATGACCTGGCCTTCACCCATCTCTGGTCTACCTGCCACTCTCCACCTTGGTCCTTATGCGGTAGTCATAAAAGCTGCTTGTGAATTACACACACGCGCACACACACACGCACACACACACACACTAAGCTGCTGCACAGCTTCTTGACTTTGCGCATGCCATTCCCTGTGCCAAAATACTCTTCCTTTTTATTCCTAGGTAAGTCTCTCTCAGCCTTCAAGATCCAGCTCCAACTCGGTAGATAGAAAACTGAGCTCACAGCCACTCCTATCTCCTCCTCTATGTCCCTGGCCCCACCCAGTTGCTTAAGCCAGGACCCTGGGTGTCACCTCTGAGTCCTCCCTCCCCCTCATCCTTCAAGATGCAGCTTAGGCAGCCCCCTCCACCAGGAAGCCTTCCGATTGCCCGGGGTTAGCTCGTCCTCTGTGCTGTTGGAGTGCAGTGTTCACATGTCCCTGCTGGCACCTACCTACTGTGTGGGCGTTATCTGCGTGTGCAACTGGCCTCCCTCAAAGACTGGAAGGTTCTTGTGGGCAGAGACCGTGTCTCATCTATCCCTCTCCTTACAGGAGCGCGATGGGGTTGCAAGATGGAACCCAACCTCCCAATCCCCGAGCCAAGGCCAGCACCGCCAGGTGGGGCACAGGTACCTGGGATTCTGTCATAGTCTCGCAGCTGCCGTTCCACGTAGTCCCACTTGAGGACGGTGCAGGCGCTGACCCCTGGCTGGGCCAGAGCCAGATAGAGGTCGCTGGAGTAAAGGAAGGGCTCAGCCGACACGGCGGGGAAGGGCAGGGTCTGGTACAGCACGAAATCTGCGGGGACGAGAGGTGTGGGGCGGGCGTTACTCAAGTCCACTGGGAGGAGGGAAGAGCCTGTTGGGTGGTGATGGGTGCCTGACGGCTGAGGCTGGTGTGTTGGGGCACGGTGGGGGTTCAGGCGGCTGTAAAGCTCCCCTGGGAGAGGCCTGGCCTGGTGCCCAGAGCAGGGGCACCTCCTACCTGTGGTGATGCAGTCGAACTCCCGAAGTGGCAGGTCCTGCACCTTGTGCTCCTGGAAGCGAGGTGGGCTGGCGCAGTAGATGGGCGCCACCGTGGTGTTGGTGTGCGCCAGCCACTCCACCAGCCACTTCACCTTGCAGTCGCAGTTGAGCGAGTTGCCCCGCAGATCCCTGGATCACGAGGGCAGTGGAGGGGGGCACAGAGCGGGGCAGGCTCTCAGGTCTCCGCCCACCCAGGCCCTCTAGGCTTTCAGAAGTAGATCCCATCAAAGCTGCTGTGAGTTGTTCACACGAATCTTTGTGCCAATTAGAGAAAAAGTCCCCTCCTGGTGGACAAAACCCCACAGACACAGGCTTGGCCAGCAGAGTGTGGGCTCAGTTTCAGCCCCTGCTCACCTCTTTGGCCAGATGCCTTTTGCAGTGTGCAACCTGCACAGCTGTATGTTGCCCCCCTGTTCCTCCAAGCCTCCCATAATCCGAGGGTTTTATTTTCTTGTGTAAATAATAAATGATAAATGATTGCGGCTATGTTATAGGACTTTAATGTAGGTTCAAATCAAACATACATTGACAAAGCACATGTTTTTAAGTCATAACGCACATGGTGTCTCAGGTGCATTTTGAGAGGAACCCCCATTTGGAAGGCCACCATCTCAACCTTGCCTTCTCAGAGGCCCCCTAAACCCAAGCCCATCCCTGCCAGCCTCTCGAGAGCTTCTGATCATCCCAATTTTGACTCCCACACCGCCCCCTTCCCCTATGGCACTGCTGGAAGAGGTAGGACTCAGGCCTTACAAGTCATTTAGGATGTCCAGGGGCCGAAAGATGTCTCTGGGCAGTGTCTGCAAGTTATTGTTGGCCAGTGAACTGCAAGAGAGATCCCCGGGTCACCTGAAGAGCATGACCGAGGCCAAAGGCCACAGGAGACGTGGGGCTTTGGTGCGGTGTGTGTATGGGGTGGGAGGTACTCACAGGTGTGTCAGGGACTTCAGGCCTCGGAAGGTGTACTTGGATAGTGCCCAGATGTCATTGTTCTCAATGAAGCTGGAGGAAACAGAACTTGCCTCAGCTGCCAATCAGGACCCCAGACCCCCAGGCAGCAGTCTCCCCACACCCCAGCCTAGATTGCAGCCTGTGTCTCTGAGACAGGCTTCCACACGGGGTCTGGCATCATCAAGCCCGCCGTGATGGGCTGGGCAGGATGGTGTAGGCAGAAGGGATGAAGTGGCATTCTGCTTGGGTCCTGCAGTCCAGGACTCCAGGGCTCTCGCCTCCCAGCCTCCCCTCCCCCAGCCTTCTCACTCCATTCCCCCGTCAACCCCTGCACCCTAGGCCTGGGCTCCCTCCTCCCTCCTGTTTTCCCATTGTCTTTCCCTCCCACACACAGGTACTGCAGGTGCGACAGTCCTGTGAAGGCGTTGTCTCCGATCAGCGTAAACTTGTTGGAGTTGAGTAACCTGGGGAGACAGAGGCAGAATTAGAACTCCCAAGGGTGTGTCTGCTTATAGAATTCCAGACCCTCCTGCCATGCCTACCTTTCAGCCCCCAGCGCTTTCTTCAAACCTGATCTCTAGGGTCACCTGTCTCTAAGATGACCCCCCCTGAGCACCCTCTGGCACTGGCCCCAGCTATTGTATACAATTCCCTTGAGTCTCCAGAGGTGCCAAGTCCATGTCCCAAAGACCCCCTCCTTGGCTGCTGCATGCAATCCTAGCTCTCCTCGCCAGTGCCACCCCCACCCCCTGCTCCTCCTGACTCCAGGCTACTCCACCTTTTGTGGCACATCCTATCGGAGCAAAAGTAAGGGACACCTGCATCTTCATCTGCAGAGGCTGCTTCCATCCACTCCTCCTCCTCAGCCCTGGATCTGTCCCCTGTGACCGTCCCCCACCCCACCCCACCCGTCCACAAGAGCCATCCATACAGGAACTGTAGCAGCGGCAGGTGGGAGAACGCTCCATCCTGGATCTCTGAGAAGGCGGCATTCACCAGGGTCCTGCGGGGACACCCAAGTCAGTACTGTGGGGGGCCTGCAGGGACTGTGCTGGGGCAGTGAGGGGTGGACAAGGCAGTGGCTTCTGTACTCACTCGCCCTGGAAACGTCCTGTGTCCCCAGCCTTGCCTCCACCTGTGTGTCCCTCCGTTCTCCTCCCAACTTCACTGCCTCCTAGAGCTCCAGGGCCCCAGGCTCTGCTCCCCTCTCAGCCAAGAGAAGGTTCCATCACCCGTCACTCGCAACATCACCATCCAGACACCCACCATGTGCTGGGTGCTGTTGAGGGACGGGCGATGGCCGTGGGGAGTTACCGTACTGCTCCCAAGGACCTCGTAGCCTCTCTGTGGCCCTGCAGGCAAGGCGGGCCCCTGAGACCAGTTGCTGCAAGTGACAGGCGGCCCAGGCTGGGCACTGAGTGGCTGGCCAGCGGCAGGCGTGTGCCCTGTGCCAGGGTGCTGTGAAGGCATAGCTCACTTCCCACCCCCTTGCTGCCACCCCCTCCCCCACAAGGAGCCCTTCTGCCCTTGGTATGACATCACAGGCAGGGGCCCACGTCTCATGTAAACAACCCCTCCAGTCTGGAGCCCGGCACACAGTAGGTCTCAGGGATGCTGATGGTGGTGATGATTCATGCTTGGCTGCAAACTCGTGCTTTCCCCAGCCATGGCTGCTGTGCCTGCGGGCTGCAGAACTCCCTGCCTGCCATCTCCAGCCCCGAGGACCCCCAGCCCTGCCGGTCCCCACACGCTGTGGAGGGGGAGCAGGGGTTCCCCATCCACTCCTATGCTCTCGCCCTCCTCTCCCTCCCCGCCCCCCCAGGCCAGGGCTGGACACTCACAGGGAGATGACCTCGGAGGGCAGGTTTCTGGGCACTGCCTTAGAGTCCACGCAGAAGGCGGTGTCCCTGGTGCAGGAGCAGCTGGGCGGGCAGGGGGACGTCTTGGGGGGCCTCTTGGCGCTGACTTGCAGCATCAGGCAGAAGCCGATCGCAGACAGCGTCAGCAGCCCGGGGCCCCGCCTGGCCGGCAGCCGCGCCATGCCTCCTACGAGCTCTCCCTCGCTGGTGGCCGGGGCCCTGGCCCCACGGCTCCTGTGGCGGAGGGCCACCGCAGCTGCTGCCGCCGCAGCCAGGGGCCGCCTGCCTGCTGCGCAGAGCAGACTCCTCCTGCCCTCGGGCACCACCGGCTGCGGTCCCCTCCTTTGCTCGCTCCCGCGAGCGGCTCGGGCGAGGTGCGCGGAGCTGGAGCCGCAGCCGCAGCCGGGGCTGGCCGGGCTGGGTGGACGCGGACTGCGGCGCGGGTGGCGGGGGCGCGCGCGGGGGCGCGGGGGGAGAGGCCCGGGCCTGGGAGTAGCCAAGGGGGAGGAATGGCCGCCCTGTGCCCTACCGGGCTGTCTCTGGGGCCACCCTGTGTGCCTGTGCGTGAGTGCATGTGTGTGCGCGTGTACATGTGCATCGGGTGTTGGCACGCTGTGTGCACACCTGTCTCTGCAGGGTGCTCACCTGTCTCCGCAGGCACAGGCACATGCTGCCTTGAGGAAGCGTTGGGCTTTAGGGAGCCATGTGCCTCTGTGGACCTGAATGTCTTTGCATGGGGCCACACGTCCTCTAAGCGGAGTCCATGTGCCTGTTGTGAGTGACATATGCATATCTAGGTTGGCATGCAAGATTAGAAGCACAAGGGTGTCTTCGGAGGAGTCTCGCATGTGCTTAATTCTGAATTCACACGTGTTTCCACGGGCAGCTGAACAGAATGTGCCTTTGTGTCGACAGGAGCTGAAAAGGGAAATGTAGCCGCTGGAGCGGGAGTGGGACGTGTGGAATTCTGGAACATTTCTCGCTATACAACCACAGCCTGTTGGAGCTGGGAAGCGCTTTGGACCTTTTCCAGTGCAGCCCTTTATAACAAATGAGGAAACTGAGGCCCCCCCAAAAGGGGACAGCTAAGTTTGTCATTGCATCCACAGTGTGTTGTGTTCTGTCTGCGGTTAATCCTCCCCACCTTGGTGGTAGGTGATCTTAATCCCCTTTCACAGACAAGAAAAGTGAGGCCTGTAGGACCGGAAGAAAAAAAAATGGCAGAGCAAAGATTTAAGCCCACTCTGCCCAACTTCCACGTTCACAGTCGCCCTTCTACGCCAGGGGTCTTCCAAGTGTGGCCCTGGGAACCAGGGGCCTTGAGAATCCTTCAGGGAGTCTTTGAGGTCAAAACAATTTTCCTAATAATGTTAAGCCATTATTCTCCCCTTTTATTTCCAAGAGCTCACAAAAGTGCCCTGGAATTTTCCAGAGGCTACAAGGATGTGTCTTCTCTTAAGCCCCAAATGAAAGAGATTTGCAAACATGTAAAGCAAGGACACTCTTCTCTCTAGTTTTCTTTTGGGCTTTGTAAAATAGTTATTTTCATTTAGAAATGTATGTGATTTATGTCATAACATATAATGAGTTTATTATTGCTATTATAAATTAATAATAATGGAAAAATTTCCCAGTCAATATCAATAGATAGAACCCACATGCATAAACATAAGCTCTTTGGGGTCCTCCATACTTTTTAAGAGTGTCCAGGGGCCCTGAAACCACAAAGTTTGAGAACAGCTGTTCTATACCACGTTAATTCCCTGGGGCAGGGGTGACTATCCTAAGAGCTCATGGGTACAGGGCACAGGGAGCCTGGCAGTCAGGTGCTGGGGTTCCCAGTCTTGGGTTCTTTGCACATCAGTCCAGGGAACCGAGACTGCTGCATTTAAGATGTTTCCCCAGCTGTCCCCAGCCTCTGCCAGCAGGGGATTCTCTGGTCTGAGCTTAAGTCTGTGTTCTCCCAGCCAGGGATGCCCCTGCCCTTTGATGTCCACTGGCTACTGCCCGTCCAGCTGCCCTGCCGCCCTCCTCATGCCAGCATGTGGGGAGGGAAGCAAGGGGGTGGAGAGAGTGGCTGGGGCAGCTGGGCGACCGTCCCCACCCGTCCCTGGCACAGCTCTGCCCAGCACACAAAGGGCAGAGTGAATCGTGTCCCGTTCCCTGCAGCTGAAGGGCTGGGTGGGGAAAGGGGAGGCACACAGAAAAGAGGGGGCCAGCCAGGAGCTCTCCATCCGCTATGGCTCTCAGAGGGGGTAACCTAGAGACAGACAGAAAGGGGGAGTCTGGGTCATATTCTTAGCTAGCAAGAGGTGCCCCAGGGGATGCAGTAGATGATGATCGTGACGACGATTGGATTTAACACCTGTAATGTCCTTGGATCCTCACAACAGTGAGGTGGACAGGCAGTACCAGGTCCATGTCCCAGATGAACATACTGAAGCCTTAAAAAGCATAATGACTCACTCTGGGCCCCAGAGCTGGCCAGGAGAAGCCCTGAGACCTCCACGTACTGAAGCAATGAACTACCCACCGATCGACAAGAGCCCCTTGCGCTCTTGTCTTATCATTATAAGATGGAGTCTTATCATTGAATATAATTAAACGTCAGCTGTGAGCATGCTCCTTGCCTGGTGGCATGTTCAAAGAAGCCTGGAGAAAGTATGTCCCTTTCCTTCCCAGGGCCCCAGTGTGGCTGGGAAGATGGGACCACAGAAAGCACCCATGTCATGGTTGACAAGAACACCCGTGTGTGCTACACGGCAGGTGAAGGTGCCGCAGAGAGGAGGAGGATTTCAGAGGCAGGAGGGCACCGTGGGCTGGGGTGAGGTCACAGAACAGGTGCCATTGGCTCTTGGCCTGTTGGGGTGGGTGGCATTCAGAGAGGTGGAGAGGGGGTGGGGGTGGGCTTCCCGGGAGGGAGAAACGGCTTAAGTAAGGGCAGCAGAGGGCTGGGCATGCCCGCCTAAAGGGCGCTCCCCCCTCCTTCTCCACAGAGCCCACGACCTCCAGCAGCTTGGTGCGAGCAGCATCTGAAGGTCACTTGTGGAACTTGAAGGCGCCCTTCCCCAGCCCCCAAGCAGCAAAAATGGGTTTGAGAAGCCAGGAAGCCTGCGAGCTGTCCTGAGGGCTACAGGGAGGGAGACTGAGGACCCGGGAGAGCAGAGGCTTCTCTTGAGGAAAGAGACCCCTTTCCCAGCACCCAGCGATGATGGGGAGCCCTACCCACAGTGCCTGCTCAGAACTAGCCCCACGGCTGGGCAACACAGCCCCCCGAGATGCCCGCAGGGACTCCAAGATGCCTGCAGTTCTTGGCTCTCCCGCTGGCCACGGCCCATCTGGCTTGCGCCCAGTACGCGTGAGTCAGCCAATCAATCCCAATGTTGCCGGGACGACGGGGCAGGAGTGGGGGCTCTGGGGGCCGGGGGGCACTGCAGGCAGGCTGTCTCCTACATCTGGCACCTGCACACAGCTGAGGCCAAGCTGAGAGGACACTTCTCCCTGCTCCCCTCTCCCCACCTCCACACCCCTCCTCTTCTTTCACTCTCCTGGGACACTCTCGATGCTTAGGCAAATATTTAAAGCGGCAGCTGACCACCCCCCACACACAAGGAGGGTGGTGGGAGCAAACACTTTTTCCCCTCTCTCCTCCCCTGCCCTTCCCAGGGGCTCTCAGTTCAGATGCCATGCTGTTGTGCAACCTTGAGACCAAGGCCCTCCAGCTGGAGAGGGGGTCCTTGTGGGGACAGGAAAGCATGCCGGGCTGGAGAGTGGGGGCTCAGGTTGTGATCAAAGGGCAGAGCCCAGGTGGAGTGAGCCCAGGGCCAGGGACAAGAATTGGGTGGTGTGGTAGGGAGCCAGGCCCAGAGTGGGCTCTGATTGACGCAGTCACAGAGTTTAGAGGTGAAGGGACATTAGGGACCACCAGCCCAACAAGTGAAGGGGGCTGAGAGACAGGGCAAGCCAGCCCAAGTTGTTGCAGATGTGACTTCATACAATGCAATACCCAGCTGAGATGGCTTTTGGGGAAGTAGTAGGAAACAGGGGGGACAAGAAAGTCCCCAAGAGTGGATCGAGTTTGGGTGAGTCACATTCTCGCACAGATATAGGATGAGAGGATATGAAAAGGGGTTGCTGGACCTCTGGACCAGTGGGCTGATTCAAGGGCGGGAAGGTTGGGAGCCCGCCAGGGACCACACCCAGCCCTATGCGAGGCCATCCGGGAACAAGAAAGCAGCATCGGGCGTGGAATCCGCCATTGGGAGCCTCCAGCTTATAGACAAGCCCAGGGCAAAGCATGAAACACTGCACATGAGTAAGAATTTACCACCAGTCGGACAGTTTCCAGAATTAGGAAAAGACTGACCAGGGGCAAGTCTGAGGCTGGTACCAGATGTGTGGGAGGAGGCGAGACGAGGTGAAGTGCACTCGATGTGGGAATCCGGCCCTCCCAGGGAAATGCACACTTATGAGTCCCCCAAACTGAGGTCAAAGCACCCCTGTCCTCAGCAGAGCCTGCTCTAGGCCCACGGGCTCTGCCTCCTCAGCCCCCCTCCTGGCGCTCATCCTAAGCTTTGGGGCAATTCTGCTAGGAACTGTCACGGCCAGACCCTGGGCTGCCTGAGAGGTTCAGCCTGGCAGAAGGACAAGGAAAGCCACAGGGTCACAGGGGCAGGTGCCAGCAAGGAAGGCAGACACGCCAGGAAGACACCCACGGTGAGAGGTGCAGGTGGCCCAAGGGCAAGTTTGCTCAGCTCACCCAGGTACGTTCTTGCTGGGGCCAAGAGGACTCATGTGTTGCGGCCAAGGGCCCTCGGGGGTTCTTGCAGCTGGCTTATCAGGGCCTTGGCTCTGGAGGACCAGGAACAAACAGGCTTCAAAGCCAAGGGCTTGGCTGGCAGACAGGGTCCCTGGTCCTCCACCGGTTCCCTCTCCCTATGGACACATATAAGACCCTGGTCACACCTGGGAGGAGAGGAGAGGAGAGCACCTGCAGCAGGATGGACGTGGGCAGCAAAGAGGTCTTGATGGAGAGCCCGCCGGTGAGCGTGGATGTGTATGTGTGTATGTGCATGTGTGTGCACGCATGTGTGCCTGTGTGTGTGTGTGTGTGTGTGTGTGCATGTACGTGTGGTGGGCTCTGCCTTCTCCATCCTCCCAGTGCCTGTTTCCTCGCCCAGATTCATTCATTCAACTAACCTAGGGCTGTGGCTGGTTAGGATGGGGACACCAAGGCCCCTAAGACAGAGTCCCTTGGGGAGCTACACATAAGGGGCTGAGAGCCACCGTGGGGGTCTTGGGCTGTAGAGAGCCCTGAGTAAGGAGCCACTAAACACGTGGAAGGTCACAGGGAGCTTCACGGAGAAAATGACATGTGAGCTGGAGCCAGGATAAGCAAGAGCTCAGAAGGTAGAGAAGGGGGAAGGTGGTCCAGGAGGAAGGGGTGGTTTCTATAAAGGCGTGGATGTGTGAGAGAGCTGGGGTCATGTGGGGAGCAGAGAGGAGCTGGCCATAGCTGGGGTCCCAGGGGACTGGGGGAGCTGCAGGAGATCATGCAGGTGAAACAGACTCTCTTGGGTTCCTCCAAACTAAACCTTGCTTCTATCCATCGATGGGTTTGTTGGAATCCAAGCCACCTCCTCCAAGAAGCCTTCTCTGATCTCCTTAGCCCTCCTGGGCATGTCTATAGCATTGGCTGTCCATCCCTAGCAGGGGGTGGGGGAGGGTGGTCCAGCTTGTGCAGGGAGAGGAGGGGACATCCTCATGACTCATGTCTGTCCTCTGCCTGCCCCACCATGTCAGGACTACTCTGCAGCCCCCCAGGGCCGGATCCGCATCCCCTGCTGCCCTGTGAACATCAAACGCCTTCTCATCGTGGTCGTGGTGGTGGTCCTTGTCGTTGTGGTGATTGTAGGGGCCCTGCTCATGGGACTCCACATGAGCCAGAAACACACTGAGATGGTGAGCCAGCATGGGTGGGGTGGACAGTGGGCATGGGAAGCCAGACAGAGGGCCCTCGTGGGCTGGGCAGATAGGAAGCCGTCTGAGGGGGGCAGCGTGGAGGAGGCAAGTGCACAGCTGGGAGGACAGAGGCAGAAGCAGGGTGGCAACATGGTCTGACTTTCTCCACCCAGCCCTCGCCCACAGTGTGACAGCCAGTTCCCTCCAGCAGCTGGTTCCACTCAGGCTCCCTGAGATCTGGGGAAACAAGGGACTGAGAGTGGACATGGGTACCAAAAGCTGAGTGGGGAAACAGTAAGATCAGGTGGCTTGATGCCTTTCCCCAGGTCCTAGAGATGAGCATCGGGGCACCAGAAGCCAAGCAACACCTGGCCCTGAGTAAGCATGCGGGTACCATTGCCACCTTCTCCATCGGCGCCACTGGCCTTGTAGTGTACGACTACCAGAGGGTGAGTATGCCTGGACCTCCAGACACTGAGGCTGGGGGATCAATGACAAGACTTTGCTAGAGCCACCCAGCTGGGCCACTTCCATCTATCCCCCTCCCCTAGCCCAGATTCTAATATGACTCCCGTGCCCAACCTAGAGGGAGCTTGCTAAGGACCTGGGTTAGGGAGTGGGCAAGGCAGGGACCCCCTGGGTGAACTCTAGTGTTCCGCGCCCAGCTCCTGATCGCCTATAAGCCGGCCCCAGGAACCTGCTGCTACATCATGAAGATGGCTCCGGAGAGCATACCCAGTCTTGAGGCTCTCACTAGAAAATTCCAGAGCTTCCAGGTGGGTGTGTGGGTGAAAGGAGTGGGCTATCTCCCTCCCAGGGCTGCTGGGAGGAGCAGCTGAGCTCATGGTTATTTGTCGCCTGTAGAACGCTGCTCCTTGGGGGCTGCCAGGTGAGTGCCCCCTCTGTACCCACCTGCACCCACCTTCCCTGCCCATCCCCAGACCTGCCCACTGCCAAACTGCTGGCCTCAGCTGAGCCCACCCCCGTGGGGGCTTCTGACTCCAGTACAGCCCCCTCTTTGCTGGTGAGGAAACTGAGGCTCAGAGAGGTCACCTGATGTGCCTGAGGTCCACAATAAGGGCTGCAGGTGAGACAGAAACTCAGTTCCTGACTCCAAATGAGGTGCTCTTTGCAGGCCAAGCCTGCAGTGCCCACCTCTAAGCTGGGCCAGGAGGAGGGGCGGGACGCAGACCCTTCGTCCCCTGGAGGAGACCTGGCCTTCCTGGGCATTGCTGTGCGCACCCTGTGTGGCGAGGTGCCTCTCTATTACACCTAGGACTCCTCAGGTGAGCAGGTGTGACCACCAGGGGAAGAGGGCTGGAGCCACCTGCCACGTCTGCTGACTGGGCGCTCGGGGACCCACTGAAGCGAGTCATCTGGGGGAGCTCAGGGGAGGGAAGGCTCGCAGACCCCCCACCTGCGACTCCCTCCCTCACATGCTGAACAACGTGCCTGTGCTTCACAGGGTCTTGGAAGCCCCAGGGGACAGGAAAGATCCCCCAGCAAAGGGTCTTTTGCAGACGGGCAGGAAGCTGCTCCTGTCCACCCCGCGGGGACTGGCCCTGGAGAAACGGGAGCTCGGGCGAGGATGGGAGCGGGCAGAGGTGGCTCCTGTGGGCCAGGGGACTCCCGCCACAAAATAAAGCAGCCTGATTGAAAAACAAAGGGGTCGTACTTGTATTTTTCCGACACCCGGGCTGTCCTGCTCTTGGCAGGGGCGGCTCGGGAAAGGTTAGGGCCCCGGAAAGGGTAGGGACGGGCGTTCTCCCGCTGTCCCCGAGCACGGGGGGATTCGGTCTACCCCGGCGGGGCAGAGGGGGCAGCGGGGCGCATCCGCGGGCTGTCGGCGCCCTCCAGTGGTGTCTCCGGAGGAGGGGGAGAGACAGAGAGCGAGGGAGACAGCGAGGGTCCCTAAGGGGAGAGACCGGGAGACAGCAGAGGCGGGGAGCCGCGGTGGGACACCGAGAGACCGAGAGGCAGAGGCGGCGCGCGCGACCTGACAGCGTGTCCCGCCGCGGGAGGGGGCTCGGCCGGGCGCCCGCGGGGGAAGCCGCCGCTAGAGGGCCCCTGGCGGGAGCGCCGCCAGCTCGGCACCCCGGGGGCCCGCGCCCCTCCCCGGCCCGCACCCGGCGCCCCCTCCCCGGGCTGCGCGGCTCCTCGCCTTCCCCGCCCCGGCTGGCGCGCGGCCCGCGCGGCCCGGCACAGTCCCGGCCCCGAGGGGGGCTGAGCTCGGGCGAAAACCCGCCCTCCAGCGAGCTCATTTCCCTAAAAAGGGGGGGGAAGGAGGGGGGAAAGGAGGGAGGGGGGAAGGAGGGCGAGAAAGAAAGAAAGAGAAAAAGAAGGGAAGGGAGCGGAGCCGGCCGCAGCGCAGGGCTAGCGCCGAGCGGGGGGCGGGAGACAGGAAGGAGGGAGGCGAGCGAGGGAAGGGGAAGAGGCCGGAGCGCGGGACGAGCGAGCCAGCAAGCCGGCCGAGGGCAGCGCCCTCCCCTGCCTCCGGGCCTCCGCTTCCCCGCCGCCAGCTCCCGCGTCCGGGCGCGACCCGCCGCCGCCGCGCCCGCCAGCATGCCCGGCGTGGCCCGCCCGCCGCTGCCGCTGCTGCTCTGCCTGCTGCTGCTCGCGCGCCCCGGCCGGCCGCTCGACTTGGCCGACTACACCTACGACCCGGGCGACGAGGACGACCCGGAGCCCCTCAACTACAAAGACCCCTGCAAGGCGGGTGAGCGCCCGGGCGGCGGGGAGGCGCGGGCCGCGCAGGGTTTGGGGTTGGGGGAGGACAGTCCAGTGTGGGAAGCCGGGAGCTGCCCGGTTGGCAATGCAGTGGGAACAAAAGAACGAGGGGGAGAGGGAGGAGGGAGTTCGGGGGACTTTTCAGACTGAAGTTTTGCTGCTGTTGGTGGAAGCTGCCGCCGCTGCCTTATCTTGGGAGAAGATTCCTGGGGAAATCTCCCTGAGTCCCGAGAGGGAGCCCGGCCGGCAAGGGGGCTCTCCCTTGTGCAGGAAACTTTTCTGGCCAATCCCTGTGTGTGTGTGTGTGTGTGTGTGTTCCTTTCTCTTCTACCCCATCTCTCCGCTCCAGAACATTGGTGTTTCCCAGCCTGTCGTCTGTCCTAGCTGCCCTGGGGCTGCGCATCTGTCTGGCCTGGGGCTGGGCGACCTGCATCTCTAAGGAGCAGGTCTCCTGGGCCCCCGTCCCAGCCCAAGAGGAAGAGGAAAGTTTTTCAGGGGATTCCCTGAGACGGTGCTCCCTGGGTATCCATGGTCCTAACCAGCAGCAGCAGCTTTCTGGAACCCAGGAGACAGCTGTCAAAGTTGGAGAAGCCAGCCCAGTAGGGGAACCACCTTTGCTCCTAAGTGCCAGGAAGCCACTGCCAAGGCCAAGTTGGGGTGGAAAGAGGGAAATACAAAGAGAACTCAGGTGGTGTATATCAGCTCTCTCGCCCCACAGACACCAGAAGCTAATTAGCTGAGGTCAGGGCCCTGGAGTGTGTGTTTGTGTTTGTGTGTGTGTCCTTTGTCTCTGAAGACCCTCTGTAACCCCTTCACTCCTGCTGGGCCCAGAAGGGTCCTGCCCCTGGAGTGACCAGATGGCCAGGCACTCAAGCCTTTTGCCTGATCGCATGACCCCGAACAGGCTGGCTCGGACACTCTGGGGACAAGATATCAGAACTATTCCTCAACTTCCTGCTTCTGACCTCAGCTTGTCTCCAAATAGCCAGAGCCAGGGCCAGTGGCACGGGTCCTAGAAATGGACTGCCTGCGTGTTGGCCACCAGGGGCTGGAGGGCAGGTCACTCTGGTCCTGGCCCTGAGGACCCCATTCAGGGACTTTGCATGGCCTCACACTCCTCCTGGGTGGACGGATCCCAGGCAGGAGCAGGAGACCCATCCAGTGGACGGACAGCAAGCCACATCCCATGGCCCTTCCCCCTCCACGCCTGATGGGCTAGCGTCACCCAGGACTCGCTGTCATCTTTCTTGCCGGGGCTTGGTGTGGGCGTGAGGTCGAGTGGACAGAGTTTGGGCTTTAAGGCAGGCAGACCTGGCTTTCAGTGCTGGCCCCACAACTCATTAGCTGAACCACCCTGGGAATGGTAATTACCATGTCTGAACTTCAGCTTTCACACCTTTAAAATGGAACTGATAATACATCTCTCCATAGAGTTGGTGGTGAGGATTAAATATGAGAACAGACTTTAGACACTTACTGGTGCTTAACACACATCCAGCACTAAATAAATGTTGGCTGCCCACTCCCTGTTTTCTGTGCCTGAGACTCTCATTTTATCTATTTACTTTTTTGAGGGACATGGGCTTGGTGGTGTCTCCCTATCCCTGTCCCTGTATCTTTTACCCATTCTGCTGATCCACTGAGTGATTAAGATGTGCCAAGCCTGAGGCTGGATGTGGGGGGCGGGGGGTTACAGAGAAACGTGCACGCCAGGGCCCTGCCCCCAAGGAGCTTATGGTCTAGTAGGGACCTGAGACATTCAGACACACCCAGCAGCAGAAACCCGGCTGTGTCAAGTGCCACATCGGAGGGTAAGGCGCTGAAGGCTCAGGGAGTCTCTCGCCCCTCTGTGGCCTGGTGGTGGCAGAGAAAGGCAATCACAGCAGGCTTGGATTGTTTGTGGAGTCTTCATGTTGGAGGTCGGGCTGGGGCAAGGCCATAAAGCATGAGTAGAAGCCACTCTGATGTCCTCCCCTCCTAGTTGGAAATGGGACTGATTTTCAGAGCAGCAAGAGGCTGAGGGCTCTACCCCCAGTCTCAGATTTCATGCTAGGGTGGGGCCAGCTGAGTTGGAGCCTCAAACAGGGCTCTGGAGAAAGCACTCTATCAGGGTGAAGCAAGGCTGGGGGGCACCAGGCCAGGCCCGGGGGTGGTAGAGAGGGCCAGGCCTAAGGTCACATCAGGCCCCCTCTTGGGTGTGACCAATGCCCCAGACCAGCTGAGCACCTCTGGGGGAAGCTCAGATACGCCTTCCCAGGCACTCACACCCACCACCCCATGTGTCCCAGGATCTCTCTCTGTGTCACCTTCTCCTTCCTCAGTTTGCTTTCTGTCCCCTGTGCAGCCTTGACCTCCAGGTGCGGGAGGGGATGGTGGCAGGCGTGCTGGCCTCTGCTTCCTTTGGATGCAGCTGCTACATGGTGACCTCTGCCCGCCCGGTACTCCCCAGCTCTTCTCTTCCTCCTCCTCCACCCACCCCGAGGACCAGGAATGAAAGCTCCTTTGACTCCCCTTGCTTACCTGTGATCTCTCAGGTTGCCCCAAGGATAGCCAGGCCCCTTCATTTGAAGTCATCTCTGACTGTGACTGTCCTAGTTACGGTGACTGTTGTAGTAAGGGCAGAATTAAGACCCTTGATATCCTGGAGAGGTTCCCGGACCTTCTGGGCGAGACCAGAACCCTGGGCAGGAAGCCACGCTGGTCTGTTTGTGTGCTCAGAGCTGGTTCCCCCAAGCCCGCTAGCCCTTGCCCAGGGAGATTGTGAAGTAGCCCTGGTTTCCTGTGTGCCCGCAGGCCAAACCTCGCAGGGGGTCCTTCGGCAAGATTCCCAGCGCCCTTTGACTACCTCAGGTGTCTGGCCAAGGACCCCCAGCAGAGATCCTGGAGGCAGGAATTGGGACACAGTTGATCACATAAGCTTAGACGCCCATGGGGCGTGACCCTGAGTGACCCCGAGCTAGTGAGGTCCACCTGGACCTCAGCCAGCACCCCTGAGTCTGTAGGAGGGGAGGTGGGGCAGGGGCTCCCCCGCCTGCATCCCCCTCCCCCTCCTGGGGGCCTTGGGGCGGGGTTTGTACTTCAGGGGGCCTCAGAGGAGAAGGGTATGGGCTCTGGGGGTTGAGAATCTCTTCTCTCCCCAGACCACATTCCCCCTCCAGACAGCTGGATGAGTCACCCCACCCACCCACCCCCTGCTCCCTGAGTCACCTTCTCATTTAGGTGCCCCAAGGGAGGAAGAAAGACATACTCTCCCTAGGCTTTAGATGGAGGGGCCAGTGAGATCACCAGCAAGAAAGGACTGTTAAGAATTCTAGTTTCTCCAGAGATTTTTGGGAGAAGATATTGGGGGGAGGGGCAGGCCACTAAGGGCATACTGAGGATGCCTAGGGGACTCGGCTAATCTCTCCCCCACCTGCATTTCTGAGGGTGCCCTTCTCCTTGGAGGGGCGTGGCCTGTGAAATGGGGTGCACACCTGCAGTTATTTGTGTGTTCAAAAGCATGAGAGATTGCACAGGGAAGTGGCCGAGTGTGTTTGTGCACATTTGTAGGTGTATCCCTGCCTCACGGGCAAGTCTGTTCACCTGTGCATGTGGGTCCTGCTGCATATACGTAAGCATGAGTGTAAACAGGCACCTCTGCATATGTGAACACATGTGGCTAAGTCCAGTCACGTGTTTGTGGGTCTTGGCTGTGTCCTTCCCCAGCTAGAAGCTGGCATTTGTGTGGCTGGATATGTGTCCGCCCTGCGTACATGGCCTTGAGGCTCATCACCCCACAGCAAGGCTCTTCTCCCTTCCCCCGAAGCAGGGGGTGCTTGCTGAGTCTGGGTGGGGGAGTAGGATTCCTCCCTGGGCCCAGGCACATGATCCGCCTCTCTCCCTTCTCTCCTCTCCTGCTCCGGGCCTGGCCATGAGCAGCCATGAGTGCTCCTGG